GCGCCGATTCATTGACCAACTAGAGGGAGACACGTCACCAGGAGCGTTTGAGGGGACACATGTCACACTGAGGAACAATGACCAGCAATCATGACGATTACGAAGAAACTAAAACGACAACCGCAAGAAGCCGCTAAGACATAACGTTAGAAAGCCGCGATTGCAGAACGACATAAAAACAATTTCTACTTCCTTATGCACTCACTATCGTTCGAGACATCGGAAGTGAGGGTCTTGTGTTGGGATATTGGGCCGAAGGCCCAACACCCGGGCCAAAAGCCATTAAGGACACCAGAAGGAGGATGCAACCATGAAGAACTTTACCCCGAATGGGAACAAGGGTTCAACGGGAATTGTCCCCAATATCCCGAACGGGATCTAGGGTTCAATGGGACTTCACCCCAATATCTCGAACGGGTCAAATAGTATACTTGGATCAGATTAACAATGCCAGCCAGGACCATCAGTCTAGTGCCCGGACGGGCAGTCCGCAAATGGCAAGGTGCATTAAATGCTAGAGTATGACGTCAGCAAATGGGAGCATGGGTGTCCAAGTGGCATGGGAAGCAACCGATCATCTTGAAGCACCCCATACCCCCACCTACCCCTTTCTAGTATAAATAAGGACATCAATTACATTGTAACGGGTTAGCATCTTGATACTCAGAGCCTTAGCATAGATTTTTCACTCTTGTTCTTGTACTAATCACTATATCATATTACCGTTCGGGTAGTTTTCATTGTAATCAGCGAATTACTTTAATACAAGTTGGCCTTTGAGTACAATATCATTCAGTTTTTATATTTTCTTTGACCCTTCGAACCAAGACCTACGTCCTTAATATCCAAAGCGTGTGTTGAGATTTTGGATCTACGGGACTTAACCTCAACAGTAGGAAAATAATTAATATTCAATATATAAGAATTAAATAAATAGTTCACAACTTGCAAATCACAAGTTTCAAAATAGCAAAACGAAGCTCAAGAGACTACATTAGTTACAAGGATAAGGAAGGATTGATGTGTCTGTAAGATGGGAAGCAAATGAATATTTTGTAGGAGAAATGAGGTGGTTAAGTTGGATATTCGATCGGGTATCTAGAATACCTTATCGGGTATCCTCGTTAGTAGCTATGAAATGCTGAAATCTAGTCATGCCCGATTGAGTATGTCAATATACCCGACCGGGAATAATACCAAATCTGATTTCCCAGATTCTATTGCTTTGTTTGATCTCGTATGATCTCCAGGTCAAATCATACCCGATCGGGTATTGTGACCAAATCGAATTTTTCTTCTTTCTTTGTCTCCCTTGAAGCTTCCTTTTGTCCCCAAACTCATTATTCATGATCCCAAGTGGGGTTCTCTTGTTTTTCCATCATGTTTCTTACTTAAATGTCAAATATATTAATATCTTCTGGTTTCTATCTTATTTTAAAAGATAAAGATTACACTATAATCATACAAAAGCAAAGTAACCACAAAAATAAAACCATCGTAAAATGTTGTGTTTACGCACTACTGAACAACACACATCACACGGCCTCATATATGGTTTTCATTTAGGGCATCAAATCCCGTAAGGGCAACCTTGATCGATGACTTCCATAAGTACTTTCTATTAGATATGGCACTAGACACGGTGTACATATAAGCCACGTGAGGATTTGAACACTTTTGAAGTTCTGAACTTTCTTGTAATTACACGTGCATGTCATTCACAAACGAGCGAGTGAATTGGTATGTGCATTAGGGGGAGGGTGTCAACTACACACTTATGTGTAGTGATGTGTGTATTGGACAACCTATACTTTTCCGGTACTTAGATATGAATGATTTGTCATTACACTATATGAAAACATGATTTTCCGAGATAGTCTCATGCATACCATTTGTAGGTTTTCCCAATGAAGCATTACCGTCATTTACTACATGGTTAGCGGAGCTAAACAACATTTATTACTCCGCCTGAGATATTCACTAATTTACCATCCACGAGTGCGGGTGATCTGGCTTGGCCCACATTGAACTAAATCATAATATTTTGGAGTTTGGATTTCTTTCTCTGAGTAAGCCTTTCAAGATTTTCAATCAAGGTTGCCCTTACAGGATTTGATACCCTAAGTGAAAACCAAATAAATAAATGATTTTTTCTTGTAATACATAGTGTCTAATTTTCGGAGCCACGTCACTTTAATCCACACATAACAACTACAAAAGAATCTATAATTTAGATGTTTGTTAACTCTACATGTATGCTCACTCATATTTTGATTTTCATTGTCGTCATTTGCATTCTCATTTAAATACTTACCTCAAAATCCTCATTATGTGATGTTGAGACAATGTTTCATTTTTATCCACTTATTTGTAAAGCTCAAAGGAATTGTACTTGTATAAAATAAGAGTATTATTTTGGGGCTTTCCCCTAAAAAATACATGTTATCTTGGTGTTATGCAAATGATACACTTCAAGGAAACGACAGATTAATGGAGATAGGGTTCTTACCTAGCACTTTTCGAAGAAGGAGGCCTCGGATCTTCAAATGGATGAAGCCCCAGCCTTCGCGGATGAAATTAAATTGGGCGGTGGTCAGGGGAAACGGTCAGGCCTCAGTTCGCTTTCTCCTTTGGGACCATAATGGTGAAGCGGTGGCAGCGATGGGTTTTCCCATGAGCGGATCGGGGCGCTTGGAAGAGGAAGCGTTTGAGAAGGCAATGGAATGGTCTCAAGCTCTAGGCTTTCCTAATATAGAGGTTGAGTCTTCGGTTTCTAAAATGATGGAGTTTGGGCGTAAAAATTCGAATACATATGGGCTCCTCACATTTTCGTTAATACCGGTCCAAGTAAATAAGGCCACCAAGATGGTAGCAAAATTGGGCCTCCAGAAGGTTTTTCAGTGGAAGAAGGGTGAAGCACTACCAATTCAGCTTAAGGGTACCATCATTCTGGACTCTTCACAAATGCCTTGTATCATATAATTGTTTTTTACTATCTTTTTAAGCTTCTTGTTACTGTGGGTAAGGTATTCAACCCCCCCATGTGTAGTTTATTTGAGTGTGGAATAAAAACTCGGTAAATGTACCCCAGAATTTACCCCACTGATTTTGGTGGTATGTCTTCCGGAGTAAAAAAATTACTAAATTAAAGCAAATTTCTAAAAAAGTGACCACATTTATATTTGGACAAAAATGTGACTAAGATAAAGTGACACCCAAAAAAATCATGTCGATGTCCAACTTTTATGTCACTTTCGAATGTCACTACAACCATGTCACTATTGCCACCATCTATCGTGTAACCGCCGCCGGTCACAACCGTCATCGCAGCCAGCCACAGTGACACTAGGACAGTGACACCGCCACCACCCAGTGACACCCCCGTCGACATCGCCATACCATCGACACGGCCAAACCGTACTGGCCATTCTCCTCCCATCCATGCCGCCAACGTCACAGTGATCCAGCCATCCCCGGTCGTCACCGCCAATCACCACCAACAACCATCCACCCTCAGCCCCAACATCCAGCCATCCGCCCTCAGCCCCAACATCTAGCCCCCAACCCTATTCCCTTGCCCCACCCCCATGTCCTCCCCCCAAGTCCTTCTCCGGCTAGTTCACACAAAACCTCAGCCATAATACCACCGCCAGCAGCGAGCGGCCCCAAATCAGTCCCCATCAGCAGCGGTGGCCCCAAATCCGACCCCACTAGCCGCGGTGGCCCCAAATCCGACCCCACTAGCAGCAACGGCCCCAAATCGGATCCCTAATCATAGCCATTGTCAATGGAGTATGCCGGATTTTGCACCGGCGACCCAAATTGGAGTCGCCGCCCTTTGAGAAAGATGGATCTGGAACCAACGGCCTCAAATTGGAGTCGTCGTACACCGGAGGCGCGGCTAACTACGACAACAGAGAAGCTAGACGAAGGTCAGGGATGAGGTGCAAGATGCTACCATCAGCGACGTCCGATTGCGGCGGAGATGGTGGTTGCAACTCGTGGCGGAGCTCAGGCGGTGGTGGTTGTGGTTCACTGATGAAGACTGCAGAGAGAAGATAGAAACCGGAAGTCCAAAGCAGAAGAGTGCAGCGATGGTTCGAATAGTTGAAAACGGAAGAGTGCACGATGAGTTGAAAAGCGTGAGAATGCAGTGAGAGTTTTATAAAAGTCACTTTTTGTCTTTTCTTAAATTGCTCATATTTTTGTCCAACAAAAGATGAGAAGTAATATCTAGGTCATTCTTTCTATTATTTTATTTAACGTTTTCTCGTTCAAATTAATCTTATAGTGTTGTTTCATTATTACAATCATAATATGAACTAAAAAAGGCAACTTTTAGCTAAACTAATTTTAAAAAATATGGAGTATATTTTTGTTAAGAATAATATGTGTAAATAATACACACTTAAACGTCTTGGTCTATATAGAATTTATTTTAAAATGACTATATTTTTCTAAATATAAAAACAATTTAATACTTTTTTAAATGGTAACCACTTTCAATGGGTGCCCTAGGCCTATGCCTATATTTCAGACTTCATAGCCGGCCACTGGGTTGGGTGGTGGTCACTAATGGCGGGCTATGATGTTGTTTACTGTACGTTGATCGCTAAACTATGGCCACATGCCGATGTTGGTCACTATAGTCGCCCAACCGGCAATAACCGATCATGGCTAGGTTGTGGTCACCATGACCGTCCAACCGCCGGTGATCACTGAGGCATTGGTCAATGTAGGACGGTGCTATCGTAAGGTTGGTCATCGTGACCACTGCCACCGCCATCGTTGTGGTCGACGGTGGTCACTGTGTCATTAATTACTGTGAATCTATGATACAGAGTCACTATAACAATGATCCTTATATTGGCTCAACAAGTCTTATTTAATCTTGAAAATTTATAAAAAAAAATGTCTTCTCTATACATAACTCACTTTCTAGTACTCTCTTTGTATTACAATAAGTGTACAATAAATTACTTTCCTTTTTGGCCGTATCAAATGAAATGACTTACTTTTATTTTAAAAAATAAATCCATCTCAAAACAGCTACAATACACTTTAATAAAATAAACAGTACTGCTACAATACCAAAATTCTCTTACTTTTTCAAAAAGTGTACAATAAACATATTGTTGGAGTATATTATTCCGGCATATTACTGTTCAAGAGCCCAACGCATTACCTTAGTACAGGGCCCAAACGACGAGGGCCATTTTCAGCCTATCAGGCCTGTTTTGGCCTTTTGGGCCCATTTTGGCCCTCTCGAGGCATTAGGGTAGAAATGCTCCCCTCCCCCCTTTTGCCGATAAATATGGGGTTTTCCCTCCATTTTAGGGGGTTCCTTTTCTTCCCCCCTCTCTCTAGCTAGCTTGTTTACTCCATTAATGGGAGCTTCAATATTGTATTATATAATGGGGAGGAGAGTATTGATAAAATGAGAGGGCTTAGACATTAGCCTAAACATTCCCGTGGTTTTCTCCCTTTCCGGATTTCCACGTAAAAATCATTGTTTACATTGTATTATAACCCCATAGCCATGAAACCCTCCCGGAAGAGGTGTTGAACTTCCGGGCTGCAGCGAATAAACTCAACACTGATGCCGTCCGTGGGAACCAGTTCTAAAAGATTCATGTGGTCTTGATGTTCTACAAAAAAATCATGCGAAATGGACTGATTTTCAGTAAAAAGAAAGAAAAGAAAATGATTCTGGGAAAGAATGAAGCTACGGAGTCTGGAAGTCCAAGTCTGGATTTTTCCCAGATCTAAGTTGGGGTCACGGAAGCCGCCGTCCCCATCGCCATCGTCTGCACCGCCACGGAACCTTGGCAGAAAAGGGAAGTGGGAGATGCTTCGCTGGAAATCAGTGTCCATGCGCAGAAACCATACATGGGGAGCAACGGCGTAGGTGGAGATACCCAGCAGAAATGATTTGTGGGGTCCAGGTTGCAAGATTACACAGAGTAGATGATAAGTGGGCCCATGGTTGACTGTCTTTCCCATCTCGCTTACTGGTAGTACCACTAACCTTGGTAAGAACAAAGCTAGCAGCAGTGGGAAAACTACCCTGGGAATGTCCCCGCTCGGCTCCAAATCAGACCAGGCGAATCAAGAGCCAGATTCATAGGAAACCGTACCAAGGCCGGATCGCCGCCCAGACCAATTTACTCGACGTTCGTCCATGAACTTACACGTTTGGCACCCTGCGCGGTGCACTACAACAATCACTACTAGGAAAAGTGGATTTAAGAAGGAAACGAAATCGTGCGTAAATGATCTATTTTCCTATCTAAATTGGTCAGCCTGTCTATGAAACTGTATGTAAACCCTGTTACAAATATCAAATGCAGATACGCTAAGAAATAGTGACATATTAATCTGAATCTGCAAAAATCAAACTCAAATACGCTCAGGGATATATACATACATTCAAAGATAATAAAGAGAGAGATTGAGTGGCCATGAGAGAGAGAGAGAGACGAGACGGCGGGATTGACAGCAGAAATGGGAGTGAAGCCGCAGTTGAAGAAGCAACTTGCGAGAGCGAAGAAGATAAGCCAGAAGCCCAGAAATGAATATTTTGTTAGGGTGTAGGGAAATAGTGGACTTAGACACAATTATTGGAAGGCTAGTATTTGGGCGGAAATGAAATTTCAGAGGGAGGGATTTTTTCAATTTTTGGGGGCGAATATGAAATTTGAGAGGGAATGAACTTTTTTTTGTTTGAAATGAAAATTTAGAGACACAGGAGCTTTTTTGTACATGGAATAAAATTTTCTTAGTACTAGTATATGTTAAGTACGTAAGATATTTTTAATTATAATAAAATTTTGTCGTCTCCTGTGATCTAGAATGTTCTTAATTAAATTGGAATTTTTTGATCTGGTCTGAACTAGTCTGTTATGTTCAGGTAAAAGTCTGGTTTGTATGTATTTTATAATTATCCAAGTCTATCTGATATGGTTTAATCTGTTCTGATCTAATCTGGTTTAGTCTGAGATTTTTCGGATCTGGTTATAACTGTCCACTTTCGCCTTTAGATTTTTCGAATCTGTTTGAATTGTTTTTTCAAATGATTTCGCTAGTATCACTTTTTCGGTGGACTTTCCGGGTGACAATGGTGGCTAGAAACAAAAAAGAAAGATGGTCTAGCGATCGTGTTTTGTTTCCACCGGATACTCCATGGTGGCTGGTATTTTTCTTTAAATATTTCGGGACATTTTTAAAAATCGGAGTTACTATTAACGGTTTTTTTCAAGCATTTTTAAAGGCGTGACCCTCTTGTGATAATGGAATTCAAACACATGAACCACTTTGATAAAAAAATGAAACACATGACCCTATCTGAAAATGAGCTCAACCACAAGTACCATTTTCGTACATTTCCCAATGATAAATTAGGACATTAAATTAGGTAGATGAAAATAATAAATACAAAGTATATGCCTTTTAAAATATAAAAATATAATCAAATTGATATCCTTATTTGTTTTTTTTTCTAGAGATGCAAAAAGGACCGCAATTCCTCTCAAAATTATTTTGCTTGTCGACAAGCACTACAATCGAACCAACTCCCTCTCTAATGCTATTAAAAATATTATTCATTTACTTTTATTATGGGTAGGAACTCAAGTTCCTTTCTAACAAGTAAAATTCCTACCTAACTATACATCATGGACTCCTTTCAAAGTTCCTATCTAAATTAGATAGCAAAATATTTTCCTATCTAGTTCCTCTCTAATAATGCCTTTTCTAGTAGTGAATCACCAATAAGGAAAAGCAAAAAACAAAACAAGCTGCTTGGCACTTGGCTAAACTGGGAATCCAGGCCTTTCACAAACGGGATATATTACCCTCTAGAACACCGGTAGCCGCCCGGCCTCAGATCCCCTGCAGGCGACTCAGCCTCCGGTCAGCTACAGGCACGGGTAGGCTGACCGCTCGGCCTCTCAAATGTCGCCGGGTTGTCAACGCACGTCAGGGCTTGGGTACCATTTTAGCTGGCCGCCCAGTGTCCGAAGTGCTGCTGGATGACCAACACCACTCGATTCTCAAATACAGCTAGTAGCTTCGGACATGCAGCACAATCTGCCGCCCGTCTCTGTAACATCCGGCCTCGTAGGCCCCGAGTTAGTTATTTCTGACCTCTAGTACTGTCTTCACAAACCGTCACTAGCCTTTTCCGTGCACTTTGTCCTCATTCGTGCGCGCCCTGAGAAACTTTCCAGGGGGTCATCCATCCCAAGACTACTCCGGTGCAAGCACATTTAACTTTGGAATTCTTAGCTAATGAACTCCCTTAAAAGGAGATGCACCTTGTTGGTATGAATAGTACTATTAATCAATTGAAATTAAATCTCAAGTATTACAATCACCCCCACTTAGGAACGCAACGTCCTCGTTGCGCCCATAAACCAATCTCAAATCTCAATCAAATCCCAGAATCCTCCCCCGCTAAGTGCCCGCCCGATATCCAACGGGTCAACACACTGTCGCAGGGTTGCTCCAATACCATTTGTAACACCCCGGCCCCGTAAGCCCCGAGGTAGTTACTTCTGACCTCTAGTACTGTCCTCACAAACCGCCACTAGCCTTTTCCACGCACTTTATCCTCACTCGTGCGCACCCTGAGAAACGTCCCAGGGGGTCACCCATCCCAAGACTACTCCGGTGCAAGCACGCTTAACTTTGGAGATGCACTTTGTTGGTATGAGTAGTACTATTGATCCATTTAAATTAAATCTCGAATATTACGGTCTCAACCGCAGCTCGGCTCAGTTGTCGCTCGGCTCCCATCCCCATGTTTTGATCACCACCGGGTTATCTATGGTCTCCGCGTATTGGACGCACGACATATCTAGCCCGGGCCCACCTCGTCTTCAGATTTAGTGCCACAAGGTCAAATCCAAAGTTGGCATGAGGGCTGCCTATCTTGAGCTCGTATGGCGCTGCCCGACATCCATTCCTACACCAAACCGACGGCACTTTCTGCTCCAGACATGGCCCCACCTCCACTCGGCACACAGATCAGTTGGGGTGACCAAAGAACATGGAGCAGACACACATACAACAGGGGATGCCTCCCTGCAGTTTGAGAACGGGCCTTGCACACTTAGAGGGAAACCTGGTCTCCCTGCGAAATAGTAGGTCCCGTGCGGCACGATGAGCGCCAATCTTAAACCGCTCGGCTCAAATATGTTGATAGGTGGGGCGCAATTACAGATTCATCTCCGGCATCTTGGTTAAGGGAACTGCCGCAGGGCTCAGTTGCCGCCCGACCTCATGGTTTTACCCTGGCAAAGGACTGCCGCTGGGTCATGTCACCGCTGATGGGTCACGTCAGCCGAAATCCGATGCCCTTGTCTCGCCAATCCGGCTTTCTTGCTCTTTCGAGCGGCAGCTGCAACAAAAGCCGATCGAACCATTTTCTCGCCCTCTCTCCAAATGATGGTCAAGGCAGCGTTGATTGGAAGTTAAGTCTGGCCTGCACAATCCTATGAGGCTCCACGGGGCCCAGAGTAGCAGACTGTTACCTTGTTGGTCGTAGGGAGGAGCTGCCAGAGTGCCAGCTTGCAGAGTGAAGGCCAATGGTTTATCTAGGTTGACCTGCTCAAAACACGAGTCACTAACTTACTCGCCCACGTCCGGAGCTGAATCCAAGCTGAGCGTCCACAACATTGAGGCCAAGTAATGAAAGGCTAACTTCCTTAGATAATTTTGACAAATTCAAAATTGGGGAGTTCCAACACATGCCTAGGCCGAGGCCCTTTATGGCTTTACGGCCTGGGCCGGTACTTTAACTTGAGTGGCTGAAGAATTGAAGTCTGACTCTTAAGCAAGGATGTGGAGTATTTTCTACCAAGTCAAAATTGCAAGAAGGAATCAAATCAAACTTCACAAAATTCCCAAGTGGCCGAACGACCTATTCTAGACCTAAGTGCCACAATACTCTCTCATTTACTTATTGATTAAGTATTAAAATACGGAGTAGTATATATTATGATTGATATTATTTGCTATCACCGTTATTTGTTAGGGATTGAAATATCCCGGAACTAAATAATGACGAGCCAAGCTCAAGTGATGAACTTCCACCGTCATTTTAATTTAATGACTAGGTGACGAGCCAAGCCGGGGGTCATAGTACCCTTAGGCCGACGGTCACGCCCGGAAGAACCTCAGACCGATATAAAAGGAAAAAAAGATAAATAAAAAAAGGGTTGGGCGTATACATATGCATGTTGTCTAGCAATTTGGCTGCTTTACTACGTTCACTGTGCAGATAAGCCAAAAACTTGAAGAAGAGGATCTTCACTCTAGAGGTCGAGGGCCTGGAGACGAGCATCCCCACTCCAGAGCCCGAGGGTCTCGAGACGAGCATCCCCACTCAAGAGGTCGAGGGCCTGGAGACGAGCATCCTCACTCCAGAGGCCGAAGGCCTGGAGACGAGCATCCCCATTCCAGAGGCCGAGGGCCTGGAGATGAGCATCCCCACTCCAGATGCCGAGGGTCTGGAGATGAGCATTCCCACTCCAGAGGCCGAGGGCCTGGAGATGAGCATCCCCACTCCAGAGGCCGAGGGCCTGGAGACGAGCATCCCCACTCCAGAGGCCGAGGGCCTGGAGATGAGCATCCCCACTCAAGAGGCCGAGGGCCTGGAGACGAGCATCCCCACCCTAGGAGACCCCTCAAAAAAAATATAGGGTGTTGAGGGTAAGTCCCGCAGATCCGAAAGCCCAACACGAACTTTGGATATATCAGGAATGGCCCAGAATCAAAGTGTATAAGAAAATATAAGATCTGAACTAACTAAAACTCGAAAGCCCACTTGTATTAATTAACCAATCTGATTACAAAGGATTTCCCGATCGGTAAGTCGGAAACTATGCTTTAATACAAGAAATAAGAGCAAATGATGCTATTCTAGAGCTTGAGTATTGAAAATCTAACCCTTACAATGACTTGAAACCTTCTATTTATACTAATGGAGAGCATGGGCTGCCTTTTGCTGATTGGCCGTTGTTCCACCGACTTGGTCATCCATGCTTCCACTTGCTGATGTCACAGTCTGGCATTAACTGCACCTGGCCACTTGCTGGTTGGCCGTTGCTCGAACGGGATGTTGATCCGTACTGAAGATGCTGTAAAATTGGCCCAAGTATAATATATAGTCTGAACCTCGTTCGGTATGTCTTCTTATTGGGCCAACCTTTATTTGGGCCGAACCCCGTTCGGTATGTCTCCTTACTGGATCTTTTCATCATAGAGTGATGGGCCTGTTACTTGGGCCGGATACCTTGGGCCTTCCCGATCTGGGTATTGGACCTCTAGGTCAATATCCCAACACAAGTCCCCCACTTCCGATGTCTCGAACGAAGTGAGTGCATCAGGAAGTATACCAATGTCATAATACCCCGAATGGCGATCGGGGTACAGAAGTAATCAGTTCCCCATGCTGCGATTTGACGGCTGCCGCTTCATTTCCCCATATTCATCATGATAACCGTCGTTTAGTCTTTTCATTAGACGCGTGTCTAGCTTAAATGCCCCTAGTGATGTGTCGTTCTCTGATTGGTTCTCGACACGGCGGTTTCAAGGCTATAAATTAGCCCTTAACTCCTCAATTCCGGGTTTCGACTCTGCAATTCCTTGGCCTTCGTTGTTTCCTCTGCAAATTTCC